TCCTTCGCTCGGCTCGGCGCGGCGCGGCGCTGCCTGCCGCCTCCCGCCCGCTCGCCGTCCCCTCCAGCCGGCGTGTGCTCGGCACAGCCCGGCGCTCACCCAGTTTCCATTGAGCCCCGGAGCCAAACCCACTGATGTCACCCAGCGCAGCCCCGGCCCTCCTCCTCCTCCGCCTCCTCCTCCGCCCGCCCTTAAAGGCGCAGCCGCCTCAGCTCCCGACGCCTTCCCATCCGCCGTCCCTCAGCTCCGGCGAGCGGGGCAGGCACGCACGGGCTCGGTTTTGAGGGCCGCGACCCCAAAAAAGGAGGTTTCTGCTCAGAGTGGAGCAACAGCCCACCCATGGCAGCCCCCCACAGCAGGGTGGCCCCGCGTGGGGATGATCAAAGCAGGGTGCTGGGTCCCATCGCGCTGGCAGCGGATGTCAAGCAGGGGTCCATCAGGAAGGCCCAGAAGGCCCCACAGTGTTCGGGGCTCCTCAGCCCACGCCCCTCAGGAGGGAGCGTGCCCCTTGGGTGAAGCACTGCAAATCCCCACGAATTAGGAAGCACACGCATAAACCCTAATGTGGACCGACAAGTCCACGAGGCACCCACCAACAGATGGGTGCAATGCTGGATCTACCCCCCAGGCCCTGGGGTGTTTGGGGGTCAGGTGGGCACAGCAAGCCCCAGAGCACCTCCGAAAGCCAGCTGAATCAGGGGGAGCAGCGGGGATGTATCAGACCGACATGGAGGTGTAGGAACAGAGCCCAGGCTGGGGAACTTCTTGGAGGCTTCTGGGAGATTTGGGCTGGATGTGCAAAGGAGGATGGAGGTGCTGTTGAGAGTTCTGGGAGCAGGACTGCAGGAAAGGCTGGAGGCCAGTGTAGTGTGGAGCTGGGAGGGACAGAGGGTCCTGTGAAGCAAGAGCCAGATGCTGCCCAGCTTTGGAGGCACCAGGATGCTTCACCAGGGTCCAGGAGCAGCTCCAGCACAGTGATCCCAAGGTCAAGAACCCCAGTTCCTGCAGCTGGAAGTAAGTGTGATGGGGAAGAGCTCAGGAGCCCCCATACCAGAAGAGCCCTTAGGTGCTTCTAAGCCAGGCCCCAGATGTCAGCTTCCAAATACAGGACGTAAGCACAGACTGTCGGCACCAAGAGGCCCAAGCTGCAGCCGTGCTGCTACTGTTTGCTGCAGAGAGCAGTCTTTGCTCCAAGTTGTATCAAGATGGGGAGGCTGCAACCTTCTGAATGCCACTGCCAGCCAGTCCCCGTGCTGACAATTCCCATTGAGACCTGGGAATTGCTCCTCGTTTACGCAAACCTTTGGGAACCTGTACTGCTTCCCTCTCTCACTGCTGGGCCTGCTTTATTACAGAACTTTGCCTGCACTTGGAGAATTTAAAATTTAATTGAGTTTTTCGTAGTAATGACATTTCCTTACACATGCTCCATTGAGCCTCTGTTTTTTCACAGCTTATGTAACAGTGAGCAGATGGGAAGGCAGGTAATAATATGCAGCCACTGCTGGATCCAGCTGAGGGTTGCTCTCCTTCCCTGGGTGGGTGCACATCGGAGAAGGGATTTGCCAAAGCCCAGCACCACTCGTGACTTTGCTGCAAGTGGAAGGCTCATACAGGCACTGAGAGAGGTGGGCTCTGATACAGAGCTGGGAAGGATGGATCTGAATCAGCATCCAGGAGAAGCAGCTCTCAGCATGCCTCGTGGGAGCAGAGTTTGGGGTGACACTGCTTGGGAGGCAGGTGCAAGGTCTGGGAGGACTGTGGCCATGCCAACTCACCCCCTATTGCTGACTGAGGGCAGCGGGAGGGAATTTGAAGAAATCCCCAACGTAGATGCAGCCCTTGGGGATGAAATTGGAGTGTGTACGGACACTTCAGCTACCTTTATTTTAATCATTGACAGCTTAAAATAAGAACTCTTTAATTAGAAACATTCCCTTAATTGAATTGTAATCAAGCTTTTAGTGCTGGCTAGCCATGTGATCTATTAACACCCACCTCTCTCCAAGCATTGCCTAGTTACACCTCTTATAAATTTTACAGGGGAGCCTAGGCCAGGGGCTTCTGCTTTTGGCTATGCTTGTAGCAGCCAGTACTGCAGGGACCCCGTCTCTACTGGGGATGTCAGTGCTCCAGCTGTGCAACAGATAACTTCTGCCCAGTTGTCTGAAAAATAAAGTTATATATGACACAAGCAGCAGGATCCCAGCTAGAGAGAGGCCAGCCGGGATTGGGTTGGAGAGGGAATGAATTTGAGGGACAAGCAGAATCCATGCTCACAAAATCTGTTGGGCCATATCTCCATTCCTCCCAGTGATCAAAGTGGTGGGTAGCTGCAGCACCTTTTCTTCTCTGTGCACCGCTCCAAAGAGGAACATCCCCTAAGGTTAGCACTGTCTTAGGCACCAACCAAGGCACACTAAGACTGTTCAGACAACAACACAGGTGCTGTTTCAGGTGCAGGCTATGTAATCCCCCAGACCCAGTGGTGAGACGCAGCTCACACATTCAAAACCCCATTCCTGGATGAGGCCCCAGAAGGCTTCACCTTGTTCTATCTTCCTGGTTTGCTTGGAAGGGATCTTTGGCTGCATGAGCATGGAAGAGAGTCCAAGCCCATCAGCTCAGCAACCGGGGACCCTGCACCTGGGACACCTCATGTCTACCTTTCACAAGATTCAGATGTTGGCAAAGCACCCCTAGATGATACAGGGAGTGCTGCTGCTGAAGGTAGGCAAGCAGAAGATGGGGTACGTTTGGCTGCTATCCTATTCACATGCAAATCCTTGGGCTGTCCCAAATGCTCTCTTTGCAGCGCTGTAGAGAGAACCCACAGCAACATGTCTTGAGCTGAATCTTGTGAGCTGGTGTATCCAAGGGGTCTATACCTCATTGGGCACCCAGCCAACCTCTCTGCTGCCCATCATGCAATTCCTCAGGTAGGAAAAGAAGGGCAAGAGTTGTGCTGTTTATTCACAGTGTCACGGCTGGGTGGGTGGCCTTCCAGAGTCACGGTATATGATATTCATAGCACCTAGTAAAACTCATGGAAAGCTGAGCTCCAGTGACCTAGCAGACCTCAGAGAACTGCCAGGTCGCATTTGGCAGCTTGGCCTGATCAACAAAGAGCAGAATCCCATTTCACCCACTCTGTGGAGAAGGACAAACTGCTTTGAAGACCAAGGTCAGTTTGCTACAGAGACACCTGTGTGTTTGCTGGGGAAGTGTGAGCAATCAGGGAAAGAGCAGAGAAAACTTTGACACTGTGCTGAAGTTCTACTTCTCTAAGGCCAGTGAAAGTAAGAAGAGATGAGAAGCGAGAATAAACACATTGCCACCTGCAATTCAACAGCAAAGGTACCTGAGGAGGAAGGTACCTGTCAACCTGTGGCTTGACACGTCCAACAGGGCTGACAGAGTTCTTCAAAGCATTGACTCACAGCCCCCACTCCAAAAACAGTGATCAGTGTTCATAGGGTCTCTTTTATACAACATACACCTAGTTTCTCAGTGCTTCACAAATAATAATAGATTTGCCTTTTCAATACTCATATTGAGCAATACAGCAGCATTTTAGAGAAGATCCAGCATTCCTGGAGGGAAGGTCAAATACAGCCTGCAAGATGGGGATGCTGATCTGAGCACTTTACCAGAGCGCTCTGCAGTTTAAAGCATTTTCTAGAGTCAGGTGCAAGTCCCCCTTCACATGCAGCAGGGAGCAATAAATACTCCTGCAAATGAGACACCAGGATCCCAGGATAGCACAAGGCTAAAAACAAAGCAAAATGCCAAAATAAATAAAACATAGCTAATAGCTACCTCTGAAAAGATTGCTGTAAGTGACTCGCTCAGGTAGGAAATCCGCAGCAGGGGCAAGGATCCAGGCCAGCGCACAACTGCCTCAGCAATGAGTCACTCCTTTGTCTTCACACTTTTGAGAGAAAAAAAACCCAACACAACAGAAAGAAGAGATGATGCTGAGTCCCTGTAAAGAGCCTTCTTCGTGACACAGCCCAGACTCATCCACAACACCATCTAACCTGTGTGCTGCAGGTGTCCTGTGGAAAATAAATCTGTGGCCACATAATTAAAGACTCGACCGTAATTCATATGCACGAGGACATTGAAGGGCAGTTGTACAGCCAGCCTTGGTGCTGACATTTCTCAGTGATGTGAAATGTGTATTCTGATATAACAGCAAGCAGCAATTGCCTGTTGTCCTCAGCAAGGAGCAAGATTAGCAAGAGGTGACATGTGCTGTCATGTGGCATTTGGTGTAACAGCATGGAAACAGTAAGAGTTGGGAGGAAGACTTAGGAGAAGACCCTTGTTCAGACACTGGAGAAGTCTCCAGTCCCAGAAGCACAAACTGATATGGTCCTCCTTCATTCCCTTGTCCCCTCCGTGTTTTCCTGCTTCTAATTTCTCTTCTTGTCAGGAAGCCCTGGGCTCTGGGCTCAGCCACTGCCCCCTTTCAGGTCCACCTCACCCTGTTTCTTCTCCCACTGTATTCCCAGTATCCTGCCCAGACAGTAGCAGGCCAACTCAGCTGTAAGTCCTTGGCCAGTCACCTTCCCACCATATGCTGTCCTGCTTCAAGAAAGCTGCCAGTACAAGCCTTCCTTTGCAGCTGGATGGATGATGGGAGCTCACCTCCATCATCTGTCCCTAGAAATTCCCACCACCCAGGAAGATGGGGTGAGTTCCTCCCATCCCCTCTCCCTGTGCCTCTGACAATCACTCCTTCTGTGCTCTGCCCATTCCCCATCTCTAGTCACCATGCCTTTGCTCTTCCCATTCCCCACCTCACTGCCACAGCCAGCCCTGCTTTCTGCTTCCAGTCTTCCTGCTCTGCTGTCCCAAGTTATTACAGCAGCTGTAGCCCCTCTCCCAAACAGATCCAGCATTCTCCTGCAGCTCATGGTCTTATCTGCTTCCCAGTCTCATTTGCTGTTCCCCAGTTTAAAGACTTTTGATTCTCTCCCTGGAGTTTCATTCTTTCTGTATTCAAGTGGGACTTTTTTCCACCAGGCTTCCCAGAAGTCAAAAGAGAAGCAGCCAGGAGCAGAGGGCAGAGGAAAGAATTGAGAGATGCAAACAGTGCATGACACATAACAGCAGGTTGCAGCTCTA